TCCATGCTAATGTTCTTTTTCTTTTCCTATTGTCTGTCTTAATTTCGTTATATATGTAAAAGAAATTATGAAACATTTTAGCTTTTGTATCTGAATTACTTAATGTATATCCATTTCTCTATAAATGACTCGCATTTGTTCTTCCTTATGGCAGAATAGTACTCCATTGCATATAACTACCACATTTTCTTTATCTATTTGTCTGTTGATGAACATACTGTCTGCTTCTAAGATTTAGCTGTCACAAACTATGCTGCTATAAACACAGATATGCATACATCACTATGGTATGTCTAACTTTTAAAATTCGATTGCATGATGGTAGCCATTTTTTATGGTGTGAAACAGAATGTAGGTGTTTTCTGTTTGCATTTCTTAAATGGCCAGTGATATTCAACATTTTTTCATGTATTTATTAACTGTTCATCTGAAAAGCATCAATTCATTTTGTTTTTTTTTTCCTTTTTATGTACTTGGTGCAGGGTCTACAAAAGGTCTACAGGGCCTCACTACATAGATCAGACTTGTAGTAATTCTCCTATTTTCAGCCCCCCAAGTGCTGGGATTACAGATGCGCACCACCACACCCAGTCTCAATCACTGTCTCAGCGTGCCCCTGGTAGGGGCCTGCACAGCACACCTGGGATCAAATCATGGATCACAGTTTGTGGAGGTTACAGTCCATACTCAGCTGACTCCATGGCAGTGGCACATAGAAGAGGGCAGCAGTTCATGGCAGCAGAAAACTGCAAAATGAGAGCAAAAAAGGAAGAGCAGCAGCAGTAACAGCAGCAAGCCTCTTTCCCTCCCTTATACTGCATTCATGCTATCTGCCCCTGGAATAGAGTATAATTCCAGAATAGCACCACAATTTACACTAGTTATTTAATATGCATTTCCTGAATTGATCAATTGATCAGTACAATGAAGAGTAGTGCAACCAATCAGTCAGTTTATTGGTTGATTTTCTAACAAGTGAGTGAGTGAAGAGTCATACTTAGGTCTTCTGATACCAATGCTTTAGACATTATTACAATTTACTTTTCCTCAAATCAGTACTTGGTGTTCATTTGTTCACAGAAAACTTTCTGTATGATAGGCACAATGACAAATCATAT